TATTTATATAACGTGCATGTAATTATTAAAAGCAAGAAAATAGGAGTCTGTCTCCTAAAATATTAACTCTTTGCTTTGTCTTTTTAATCTTTCTTTCCCTATCTTTCTCCCATTGAACTGTTTAAAGAAGCAGTTGTATTAATTTATGTATACATTTTTGCTTAGATAGTGAAATGCCTTGTGCCTTGTCAATAAAATATTTTTTACAGATCGAAGTACGTCTAAATAATAGCCACAATTAAAGATTAGTCATTTTGGCTAAATAGATTCCACAGTTTCTCAGGTCTAGATGAGTGTGGCAGGGCACTGTTGGTGCCTGCCGCTTTAAGGGCTGAGCCAAGCAGCCACCAGATGCTTGATTGCAGCGGCCATTTTAGATCTCTTGCCACCTATATAAACAAAGCAGTTCTCTGCTGGCAGGCCAAGCAGAAACATTGCCTGGCTGCAGGGATGACTGCAACATCCTAGAAGTAAGGGCAGGAGCTTAAGGGGATGTTTTGGAGGCTCCAGGTCCCGGGCATGACCTAAAACTGCACCCTGCCAGGGATGGGTGGCCTGGTGGGGCTACTGGTGGCACGGGAGTCCCCAGGAAGTGCAAGGCTAGTTACCACCCTGGTGAAAGGTGGGTCAGGGCACCTTAATAACCCCAGCTTCCACAATGGGGCAGGTTACCCCATAGTAGGGCCAAGAAGGCAGACCCAGATTAGGGAGTGGGCTAGAGACTCAGAAGCCTGACTCAGAACACCTTCAACTGGTGAATGCTGGGGCCAGGATCAGAAGGTTCCAAAGGGCCAGGGGCCCACCACAAGGGATGCCAGACCTGAGGGCCTGGGGTTCCAACTGGCCTTGGAGGTGAGGCCAGGGCCTGTGTGGCCAAAGGTGCTGGGGAGGTCACGCCTGAGAGGGGGAAGATTTCAGGGAGCTAGGTGGCCCAGAATGAGGGCAGAGTAGGTTGTCTGATTTGGAGGGATCCAGTTGGGGTCTGGACTGGAGGATTCTGGGGCCCAATGTGGGGCCAGTAATGTTAAGAACCGTGGATGCCATCTGCGAGGCTTCGGCTGTGGTGTAGGGGAGGAACGGAGCCCTGGCATCAGGGCAAGAACGGGCAGCCTCCCACCTAATTAACACCATAATTATGTATCATCAAGGCATGGCAGGCCAGGAGGCAGGCAGTTGGCCCAGAAACAGGCTGGCCCTGAGACTGGTCCCTGTTACAATGAGGATGACAATAGGTGCCAAAATTGGGAATCGTATCCAGTCCTTAAAGTGCGAATAGTGGAATATTTAAGGTGGGTGCTGTTGGGTCATTACTGGGAAGAGGGGCATGTCTTCACACCTGACAGCTGTTCGCAGGTCTTTTCCCCATGCATAACTGCCCCAGGATGGCTCCCCCCTCCCCCCTTGCTCTCCCTTTTTCCCACCTGCCACAACTTTTCTTGTTTGCTGGTTCCTGAAGATGTAAAGGAAAGGGGGAGAGAGGGAGAGGCTGGTGCCACCACACAATTGCCACCGGTTGCTAATGCGCGTTACAACCTCCACCCCGGCGAAAAGAGAAGGTGTCAAATGAACTGAAGGAATGAAAAGAGATTTTATTTGGACCAACAGGGTCCCTTTCTGAGTTTTTCAGGGTCTAGCTAGTTCCTTTACTCGGTCTGTCTTCCTTCGAGCAGCTGCACTTTCTCTGTTAGGGCCGATTGGGTCTCTTTACTTACTTTGCTGCCCTGCCAGGCTTGATCATTTTTGGGAGGCAATTAGGGCAAAGGATACCTTGAGTGGAAGCATCTGCTTCATATTTCCTCTCCCTGGTGGATCCTTGCCACTCATGGCACTGATAAGATGCTGGAGGAGAGCCTCTTGCTATTTCTCTGAGAGAGAGAAAATAAAAACAAAACCCAGAGGGAACTGGGCTGGGTCTGAAGTAAACCCTATGGCTCCTGTCCTCTGATCTGCGTTGCTGGCTTTTCTGCCTTCATTAGCAAGGACCGGTGATCAGTTAACCAAACAAAGTTAAACTTAGGGAGAGAGTACATGTATTCTTTCTATACTTTCCCCTTCTGTGGATGAGGGCTCCCCCCACCATTTACGTGCACATGGACACCAGACAGCCTGGACAGCAGCTCCTGTAGGTATGTCTGGCAGTGGGGGAGGTAGGGATCGAGGCCCCTGTAGGGAGGGGAAGGAGTTGGGCAGGGCTGTGGCTGGGATTGTGGCTGCTGCCCAGCCTGGGTGGTGCTTGGGGCATGGGGCCAGAATGCATGGGCCCTGTACGGGAGTGGCATGGAACTGCAGGTGGCTTGTCCAGGGAATGGGGAGGGGCTAGCTCCTGGCCACTACTTGCATTCCTGGGAGGGGGCAGGGGGGACCACACACCTCCAAGATTTGTGCTTGGGGTAGGGGTGGGCTGGGTGCTGTGGGCTTGGGCTCTCCACCCTGCTGCCCTCCTCGCCCCCAGCCCAGCAGGCAGGACCCAGGGGGTGCCTCACCGTAGCAGTGGAGGGCTCCTAGCAATGGCACTGAGCTTCCCCACCCAGCCCCGCTCTGCTTGCCACTCCGGGTCCTACCTGCTGGGTCTTGGAGGCCCCGTGGGGAGGGCAGCAGGGTGGGGAGTATGCAGTGGTCAGCCTGCACTTGCTGCCATCCCCCGCATGAGCTCTGTTTCGGCTGTGCCACCCCTGGGGGAGGGGGAGCTGGGCTCCACACTCCACTCTGCTACAGCAGCTACTGCCTCCAGTGGGCAGCAGTTGGGTGTTGGGCACTGGTGCAGGGGGCTGCAGACCTGGGTCCATGGCCCCGTAGCCCTGGTAGCTGGGGGCTCCCTCTGACATGGCTGTGGGTGGGGAGTGAAGGGCACCAGTAGGGATGGGGGCCTGTGGCTTGGGAGTGAGGGGCTTGGGCCCACATCCTGGTGAGTGAAGGGGACAGGGGGAGCTCTGATTTTTCCATGAAAAGAAACCCAAAATCAAATACCAAAAATGTATAGGTACTTAAGAGTTTATTGTGACTGAGACATTGATAGGCTTCCAAATTGCTTCCAAATTATAAATATATCAATAAAACATTGTGTTCAGTTGATACCTATCTATACAGCGGCATTTCATTTTAATTGTGGATTTGGGGGGGGGTTAATCAGGGAATTTATGTTTTTATCAGAGAATTTATTATTTTTAAACAGAGAAAACCAAGATCCTTGCTAATAACTGCTGTCTCCTGAGAACATAGTAGGGCAGGGGGTTTCAACCTTTTTTAGTAAGTGTACCTCTGGCAGCCCCACTTTTTGTAAGTGTGCTTCTGGGCAGGGGAGGATGGTGAGTGGCCAGACACAAAGCAGGGGCATGGGGAGCAGCAGTGCAATATCTGTGCAGCCCTGCTCTCATCCCGCCTCAGCCCTGCTCCTGTGAGACAGAGGTGTGGGGTGGCAGTGCTCCATCTCCATGTACCCCCTGGGACCTTTCAAAGTACCCCCAGGGGTACACATACCCCCAGTTTACAACCCCCCATAGTAGGGGAATATATTAGTTCTCCGAAGATCAGTAAAGATCTGAGCCTCTAACAGTCTCTAAATGATGTATCAATTAAATAACCCGAATAAGGGGCTTTGGACATGCATTTATGATGTTTGTAAAAGTGGAGTGGACACATGATATGCAGCATTAAGCCCGTGTAAGTCACTGTATTCTAGGTTAAAATTGCCCCCCAGCAAGTGAGGAATAACTGTACAGAGTTTTATATCTGAATAGCAGACCTGAGTCTGTGTCCCTGGTCAGTTTTGTCCTGGAGGAACCATTGCTGATTTCAAACAGTCTCCCCAACCACATAGTAGGTACCATAAAAGCACCCCTTGCAGATGGTCAGTGCGAGAGAGCTGGTCCTGTATCTGTAATATAATTTTATTGTACAGTAAATTCTGGAGTAAATCTTTTTGTAGTAGTTATGTGTGTAGCTAGATAAGCTAACTAATATAACCAGGCTATCATTTGTTTCCATGCCTACCTGAAACAAGCTCTCTGTCATCTATCTGAAACTGGTAAATTCCAAGTTAGGTGTGCGCTTCTTGGGTGTCTCCCTAGCAAAGCTCTAGTAGTCAAGAGTAGGAAACTTCAGCCTTTCAGAACTGTACCTTAATACTTCTTTCTAGTCATTACCAAAAACAGCTATTAAAGGGTAGGTATGCGACTGTATTGTGAAGGCCAGTTGTGTTAGGTTACTCCTGGATCATTACAAACAGTTGGCAGAGGTGTAAATTATGAGGACTGGTGTGATTCCTGCATGTGGGGTGGCGAGGATCCTATAATATTGGAGCAGAACCAGCATTAGGTTCTTTAGGCTCCTTACAAGTGGGATTATCTCCAAATCCCACTGATGCACTTTATTACTTCTTTCTTTAGCATCATCACCTAGGGATGTTTTTTCTCGGTTCTGGCATAAAATTATCTGCAGAACTATGGACTGCATTGCCTACTCAGACAAAAACTCATTGCCTTCACAACTGCAAGAACAGGCAGCTGCATCTGAGCCTCATAGTTGCTGCTGCTTCCTCCTCTCCCCCCCACCCATCTCTGTCATATGAAAGAAGAGTTCTTTGTGGTAGAATCAAACTGCAGCATTCCTCTGTGGAGAGGAAGGGGTTTATTTCTCCTTTATAATTGGTATTTCATGGTGATTTTTATCTTGGATGATTTACAGAACATCGAAATGCTAAATATTTATCGACTTTGTAAATTATTTTGAATATTAACTTTTCTCCAGGTACACTCTATTCTTCACTTTAAACTGGTGCCCAAAAGCATGTTAACCACATTAAAAAATAACCAACTACACCACATAAGCACCTGTAACAAAAGGGATTATGTTTTTTTTTGGAAAGAGATCTTTTTCCTTCTAGCAATGCTTACAATTACTTTGGCAACAAAATATATGTCTCATTAATGTTTCAGTGTTTTGTAGATAGTAAACATGTCATTAAATCATCTGTTTTTTCTTTGTACCTTTTATTTGTACAGGATCCATCTGGTGAAGGCTACAGAGA